AGCCAGAGTCGAGATGGTGTCTTCTGGGTTCTCACAATTGGTGAATGAGTCAATGGTTTCCACATGATAACTTCACTTCTACATCCATCTCCCTAGTTGGTCAGATTCCTTCCTCTTTGTTACTGCAAGGACTTTCTGGAAATGACTTTATTTAGAATAGGCTGCTACAGTTCAGTTTCTGTCACCCAACAGAACCACCATTTGGATCTGCCCCCAGATACTCCAGTTAGCAGCTGGACTTCCAATCTCTGGTGAAGGCCTTTATATAGATGAACTCTGTCAGATAAAAAGTTAGAATCCATTCCCAAAGCCAGTCTTCATATTTCTGCTAACGTAGATTAGCAACACCTTGAAGTTCTCCTCATGAGTAAACCTTCTTTTCTAAGTTTTGACTTTTAATTGACCTCTTTCCCAAGGTACACTGGGATCTGGCATTTTTATGGTTTTGAAGGCAATGCAGCATGGTGGGATGAGGCAGGAAATTTGGGCTTCTATGAGTCAATTCAATTATCTAACAGATTGCTCTTCAATTCTGCGGGGTCCCCTCCTTCTTTCTTTCTTGTTCTGCCATTTGTGTAAGCACTTGGCAAAGTTGTGATTACAACTGATGCTGTGATTTGGAGAATTCAATGTTGAGGTGGGTTTTTTTTTCGATTTCAACTTTGTAACTACAAGAAATCTATTTTTTAAGCATAACTGTGGAAAGTCCCTGGTCCTCTGACCGTCCATAGAGTGAAAAACTTAGCACTTCAACTGTATAACTCTTTCTCTAGCTCTTCAGTACAGTTGGCAGAAACTAGCCAACTCTTATCTTACTCATGCTTCTAGAATCCCATACTTACTCTAGCTTCTAGAATCCCATATTTCAATCACAGTCAGATTTTCAGTGTCTTCTGGCTCATGTACTCATGTAGACCAGATAGCCAACCTGATTCTCATGTCATTCATTCAACAACCTTTATTGGATACATATGAATTAAGCTCCTTCTATGCCAGACACTGTTCTAGGCATTCAGGATACATCCATGAACAGGAGACAAAGATTCCTGCTTGTATAGAGCTTACCTTATAGTTGAGGGGAGGGGACAGCAATACATGTCATAAAGAAAGAAAGAATCATATATTTGAAGGAGATACATGCAAAAAGAAGTAAGGATGGGAGGAGGAGTGAGTGTCTGGCGGGATGTGGACAGTGGAGTGACATGGATGGCCAGGATTGGACGCATTGAAAAGGGGAAACATGGACAAAGACTTGACAGAGCGAGGGGGCAATGGGGCAACCACACAGGTGTGGATGGAGACACTCCAGGTGTGGGGCTCAGGTGTGTGAAGCCTCAAGGTGAGGCCATGTGGCATGCTCCAAGACGAGCAGGGAGACTGGTGCCACTGGGGCAGAATGAAGGAGGAAATGGGAGGAAGATGAGGTGAAGGGGAAAGGGGTAGATCCCTTAGGACTGTATATGGCAAGCAGGTGGACTTGGCGTCACTCTCAGTGAAATAGGGGGTCATGGGAAGCACAGTTGAAAGTGATGGACTCTAGGCCAGGCGCAGTGGTTCAATGCCTGTAATCCCAGCACTTTGAGGGGCTGAGATGAGAGGATTGATTGATGCTTGCTGGAGTTTGGGACCAGTCTGGGCATCAAAGCAAGACCCTGTCTCTACTGAAAAGTAAATAATGATGATGATAATAATAATAATAATAATAATAATAACTAGGTGTGGTGGTGCACATGTGTAGTCCCAGCTACTTGGGAGACTGAGGCAGGAGGATTGCATGAGCCCAGAAAGCTGAGGCTGCAGTGAGGCAAGATTCCACCACTGTACTTCTAGCTTGGCAATGGAGTAAGACCATTTCTAAAAAATAAAAATGAATAAATAAAAAAAGAAGTCACACTCTGAAACCAGGGTGCTAGGTAAGTCACAAAATCTCTAGGAAGCACCTGCAGAGAATTGAAGGCCATGCAGCTCCAGGGAGCCCATCCTTGCCATCATCTGCAGGGGCAGATTCAGTAGCACATTCTACCTAACGCTGCCACCCACCTCTGGCACAGCTTCTTCTAGAAGCTGAGGTCTCTGCGATCATTCCTGCCAGTGCAGATTCCACTGGTCACCTCCTTTCTGGATGTCAGCTCCCAGCTTGCAGGCTCAGGTGATACACTTGAGGACTAGCCTTCCAAGTAGCTGGAATCACAGGCGCGCACCACCACACCTGCCTAATTTTTTGATTTATTGTAGAAATAAGGTCTCGTCAAGTTGCCCAGGTTGGTCTCAGATCCCTGGACTCAGGCAATTCTCTCACCTCCACCTCCCAAAGTGCTAGGATTACAGGCGTGAGCCACTGCACTTGGCCTGGATAGGATTTTTGTAAGACCAAGTCCCAGGTAAGGGGATGAGGGTGAGCGAGTTATGACCTCTAGACTAATGTTTCTTTTCCTTCTCCTTCTCCTTCTCTTTCTCCTTCTCCTTTTCCTTCTTCTTGTTCTTCTCCTTCTCCTCCTCCTCTTTCTTCTTCTTCTGTTGAGTTGAAGTCTCAATCTGTTGCCTGGGCTGGAGTGCAGTGGCATGCTCACGGCCACTGCAGCCTTGTCCTGCTGGGCTCAGGCAATCCTTCTGCCTCAGTCTTTCAAGTAGCTGGAACCACAGGTGCATGCTACCACACTGGCTAATTTTTTGATTTATTGTAGAGATGAGGTCTCACTGTGTTGCCTAGGCTGATCTTGAACCCCTGGGCTCAGGCAATCCTCTCGCCTCCGCCTCCAAAGTGCTGGGATTACAGTTGTGAACCACCATGCCTGGCAGAGAATCCCTTTTCTAAGAACTGGTGACCAAGAACAGTTGTCCACAAGAGGATGGGGCAGCAACTGACATTTATTGAGCACTTAAGAATATGACAGGCACCGTGCTGAATGCTTTCTGTATATTTTCTCAGTTCATCCTCACAGCAGCCTCATGATGCTGTTCATGTTTCACTTTACACACGAAGAAACCTGCTTAGAGAGATTAAATGACTTGCCAAAAGGATCACACAGCTCCTAAGCAGTGGAGCCAGGACTCGAATCGAGGAAGTCTGACCCAATAAAGCTGGGATAGTTATGCACATTTACAGATGAGGAAACTCTAGCTCGGAGAGGTGAAGCAACTTGTCTAAGGTCACAAAGCTTCTAAGTGATCAAGCAAAGATTTTAATGCAACTTGGTGCTCTTTTTCCTACTTTCTATGGCCTCATACAATTATCGAGCAGCCAAGGAATACAGAGGCAGGCAACTCCCAGAGGCTTGTCAGGAGAGCAGAATAGGATGGGTGATCTCACACACAGGGATTCTTCTCTGGGGTCTCAGTTTCCCCCCAGGAAGCCTGGGGCCTGTGCTTGTCAAAGGGAGGAAGGAGTGAAGGAACAGTGGGGGATGAGGGTGCCAGGGAGGCTCTCTGAAAACCTTCTGGCTTGACACCCTATTATGTGAACACTCATATATCTCGAGAACTTTGATCTCTGGGTCCCTCCCCTTGGAGCCTCCCACATGGAGTTTGCTACTGACCCTCTTGGCCTCTGCCCTGATGCTCCTCCCACCTCGGGTCTGAGTAGAAACAAAATCAATTTCCTTCTCTGTTCCTCTTGCTAGAGTGAGAACCGCTGAGGCTGTCTGAGGGAATTCTTCTAAAGCCAAAAGGAACGTTCAAGAAACGAGCCAACAGCAACACAAAATAAAATCCAGGAGTCTCTCTCTCTCTCTCTCTCTCTCTCTTGTTCCTGTGTCATGTCTGTGCACACTCTTAGTCAGCAGACCCGAACAAGCGCCGGGGCATAAACAGGGGCCCCTGGCTCCCACCATCCCCCTGAAACACACACCCAGCTTGCCAGGAAAACAGACCACCATGTTCAGGAATGCACCTTCCCTGCTCTGAGTGCACCAAGAAGTAGATGCGTAGAACACCCAGAGGGACTCAGAAGCCTCCTCTTCACAACACCAACCCTTTGCCTCATAGCAAAAAATAATGATAAAGCTCTTTTTTTTATCGCCTTCTTCCTTCTTCTCTTCCCTCTCTCCTTTCCCTAACTTCCAACACATGAGAAAAAAAAAATCCAGGAGAAACAGTACCATGTGAAGTTGAAGACAGCGAGGAAACGTAAGACAAGGCCACGTCCTCTACATCACCTACTCAGGAATATATCGAATCGGAGGTCTAGCTATTTTCATTCTCTCCTCAGATCACTCACTCATCCATTCAACATTTTTTTTTCTGAGTCAGAGTCTCTCTGTGTCGCCCAGGATGAAGTGCAGTGACATGATCACTGCTCACTGCAGCTTTGACCTCCTAGGCTCAGGCGATCATTCCTTCTCAGCCTCCTGAGCAGCTGGGACTACAGGAGTGCGCCACCATGCCTGGCTGATTTTTAAATTTTTTTGTAGAGATGAGGTCACCCTATATTGTCCTGGCTGTTCTTGAACTCCTGGGCTCAAGCAGTCCTCCTGCCTCGACCTTCCAAAGGGCCAGGAGTACAGGCATACCTAGTGGGAATAAACAGAATTGTGAACAGATGCAGTCTCTGCCCCCACGGGTTCACAGTCTAGCACTGGAGGCAGATCACCAGATGGGCAGGTGCTGAATGGTGCATGACAGGAAAGGACCCGCTGTGAAAGCACACGGAGTCTCCTGAGCCCACCATGACAGCTGGGAAGGTCTCCTATGACAGGCAAGGCACAAAGACTTTCCACATGTCATTTTGTTTATTTCTTGCAATAATGATGTGAGGTAGCAATTGTTGCTTCTATCTACAGATGAGGAAACTGGGACTCAGAGAAGGAAAGTAACTTGCCCAAGTCACTCACACCGAGGCTGACCTGGCTCCAAATCTTGCCTTCTTAGCATGGCCTATCTGGCTTTTAGTGATTTATTTTTTTTGAGTTGGTATCTTACTCTGTTGACCAGGCTGGAGTGCAGTGGCACAATCACAGCTCTGCATCTGCAAAGGCCTGCAGTGAGACCGAATGTGGCCTCAGATGAAGTGCGACTTATCTCCTGGGGCTACTGTGCAGAGGGTGAGGAGAAGTCTGTGAGGAGGCAGGACAGCTGGCAGGTGTCAGTTGTGGAGGACTTGCTGGCAGTAAGGAGGCTGAATTGCATTCTTATGGCCGCAGAGAAGCACACGTCCTCTCTCTACTCATCTTTCTCCAGCCCTGTGGTGGAGGATGAGGACCTACTGGCCAGGAGCTACTCATCTCCTTTGTTCTGGATAAGCCCCTCATGGAGCCGAGGCAGGAAGATCACTTGAGGCCAGGAGTTTGAGATCAACCTGGGTCATACCGGGAGACCCCATCTCTATAGAAATTTAAAAAATTAGCCAGTCAGTTACTTGGGAGGCTGAGGCAGGGGAATCACTTGAGCCCAAGATTTTGAGGCTGCAGTTAGCTATTACTGCATCACTGTGCTTCAGCCTGGATGACAAAGCGAGACTCTGCTTCTAAAAAAAGAAAGCCCCTAGAGGAGAACTCAGGCAAGAAGCCATGTGGTTTCCATTGTGGCCTCTCAAAGTTGCCCTGGAGTTGCAGAGCATGCCCTGCCAAGCTCCCAGCACCCACTTTCCAGGGCAGGATATGCCCCTGCTCAGAAGCTCCTGGGTATGCGCATGAAAACCGTCAGTGGAGTCCCCAGCTGGAGGCTGAGCCAACCTTGCCTGAATCTTCCCTCTGAGGAATGAGCTCCATGGATAACAACTGTCATTGTTATTGTCAGTGTCCTTGGCCTCCACTCCGGTCTCATTTGTCTTGTAGCAGGGCCTCCCTTGTGCCAGGATGGTGACAACTTGTGCAGGAGCCACCTGCTTTATTTCCCACACTCGCCAGCTTCACAGACGGGAAACTGAGGCTTAGAGGGATGAAGTAACTTGGCCTGCAAGTGAGGCTGGATGTGGCCCCTTGGAGGGTCTGGATGGATCTGACCCCCGAGCCCACCCTTATCTCCTGTTGTCTAAAATGGCCCCAGAGCACCTGCCGAATGTGGTGACGACACCTCCTGTGAGCAGGAAAGTCTTGGAAAGCAAGCAGCCACCCATGCACAGCAAGTTCCTGTCCAGGGATTTCTCCTCTCTGGCCTCCGTTTCCTCACCAGAGGTCTTCAGAGTAGAACAAATGAAGTGGTAGCAAAGGAATGAGGACACCATGGTGGGTGGTCCCCACTGACTTTCTGAGTTTAAGATTGATGAGTTTCCGAATCGCAAATCAGCAGAGCCGGAGGATCCTCCACTACGGCCCTGTTCCTTCATAGGTCACTTTTGTGTTCAATGACACCAGCCTCTGCTTCTCCACATTTGTGTTCAATGACACCAGCCTCTGCTTCTCCACGGAGAAGTGACCGACTTAAAAGTGAGTCCTACTAGTTCCCTCCTGGAACCATTGTCATCTGAGAACTGAGGGTCAGGGTCGCATCTGTTTTCTCTGATGTCGTCACAATTGCACACACTGTGCCCCTCTGCTTTGCGATGTGTGCTACAAGAACCATCTAGCTAATAATAAAGAGACAAAACTCGGTGTCTCCGCTGGCTGAGCCTCTACTGGGTTGCAGGCACATTAGACGTGCTACTTCATTAATTCTCATCATCCCCATTTGAGGATGGTCTTGCTGTCTCAGGAGCCTGAGTCTTAGACAGGTTCAAAAATCCACGCTTCCTAAATGCTCAGCATTTTCTCTGCTCTGGGGTTGTACACCTGTCTCTGCTGTCACTGCTCCCCAACCCCAAGCCCTCCCCTCCCCGCTCCAGGGACCTGCCTTTTCTCAGGCCCAAACAGGAACAAAATCAAGTTCCTTCCTTCTGTTCCCCTTGGCATGACTAGCACATGCTGGAACTTTCCAAAGGACCTTTGTCAGCCCTGATGGAATTCCCTGAGAAACACAAAGAAAACAAAGAAACTTCAAAATCCACAGCAAACAGTCATGACTGAGGTGCAAAAAGCCAGGATAGGAGACACTTGCTCAGAGCATTCGCCCAGACTAGCTCTTAGCTGGAGCCCCTTCTGAGTTCTTTAGGCCTTGGGATTTTTCAGTGTATGTTTCCTGGATGTTAATAGATATAAAATAATCCCAAACTAAACTCATTTTTTTTTTTTGAGCTGGGGGAGTCTCACTCTGACTGGAGTGCAGTGGCATGAACACAGCTCACTACAGACTCGATCACCTGGGTTCAGATGATCCTTCTGCCTCAGCCTCCTAAGTAGCTGGGACCACAGGTGCATGCCATCACACCAAGCTAATTTTAAAAATTATTTGTAGAGATGAAGTCTTGCTACATCGCCTAGGCTGGTCTTGAACTCCTGGGCCCAAGCAGTCCTCTCTCCTCATCCTCCCAAAGAACTGGTATTACAGGTGTGAGCCATCATGCCCAGCTAACTTTTTTGATTATTTGGAGAGATGAAGTCTTGCTACATTGCCTAAACTGGTCTTGAACTCCTATGCCCAAGCAGTTCTTTCACCTCGCCCTCCTAAAGTGCTGGGATTACAGGGGTGAGCCACCACACCCAGCCCCAAACTAAACTCTTGTGATCAAATCCAGTGGGAAACCTGGAATTAAACAAGCCCAATGGTTTCTTTATTTGCAGGACTTATAAAATAGTCTTTGTTTTCTTAAAGTGCCTTGAACGTTTCTGAGACCCAGAAATCCCCTGATGGCTGACCCCGAGATGTGTTGCTGAATCTGTGGTGGGAGGGATGGTGATCTCTGAGGGCTGCTGCCGGGGAGGCTGGCTGCCCTCCCCCTGGCCTGCCTTCCCCAGGTGGACAGGGGACTTCTAGGAGGGAGAGGGCCCCTCTGAAGTTGGATATTTGTCCTCTCAGAGCTTCTGAGAAAGTCCAGCCCCAGCGCAGAATGGGACAAGGGAGACACGTTGTGTCTCTACCCCAGATGGCAGAATCTGAGTATGGGGAATGGTGGGGAGACAGCCCTTCCTCCAACACCCCCCCAGCAACTGATCCTCTACCCTCCTCCCAACCCCAGACCACCTCCTGGTGTCTCCTCCCCCTAAGCAACCAATCCCGCCAGGGCCCTGTCATTGTCCCAACAATGCCCGTGACTGCTCCTCACACCTGTTTTCTCTGGTGTCATCACAGTCGCACACATCGAGCCCCTGAGGTGGGTACACTCTGCTTTGTGATGTGTACTGCAAGTATCAACTAGTTAATAAGAAAGAGACAAAACTCAGTGGCTCCGCTGGCCAAGCCTCTGCCCGATCCCAGGTGCACTAGATGTGTAACTTCATTAATTCTCACCACTGCCATTTGAGGAAGGTCTTGCTGTCTCAGGAGCTTGAGTCTTAGATAGGTTCAATGACTTGCTCAAGATCATGTAGCTGTTAACGGATGGGGCCTGGCCTTGAGACTGAGGCTGGCCTGGCTTTAGACTGGACGCTCTTTGCAACATCCCACGCAGCCGAGCCCCTCTTGCATTTAGAGACAGCACCTCCCCTGAGCTGAGAAGGCCCTACCCTCAGTTCTCAGATGACAGTGGCTCGAGGCGGGAACTAGTTGAACTCACTTCTAAGCCAGCTGGTTCTCCATGGGGAGGCAGAGACCAGTGTCATTGAACACATGTGTGCAAGAGTGACCCACCAAGGAGTGGACTGCAGCTGAGAACCGATGCTGAAACTCATCATTCTTAAAACAAACTCTGAGAAGTGTCTATTCATGTCTTTTGCCCACTTTTTAAAGGGGTTATTTGTTTTTTTCCTTTCGGCACGTTTGAGTTCTTTGTAGATTCTAGATGTTAGGACTTTGTCAGATACACAGTTGGCAAATATTTGCATAATCAATGTTTGTATACCTAACCCTGAGTTGTACCCCACATCTTTATAATAATAAATAAACAACTTCTAAAAAAAACCAAACTCGACATCCCCCAAGCTCCCGCCTCCCGCGAGCCTCTCCCCTGTCTCTCTGATGTCCAGGCTCCCTTAGCCCCCGGGGGAAAGCCGGCTAGTTTTCTCTCAGGTCCAAATAGGAACAAAATAGAATTCCCTGCCCTTTTCTTGGTTCTCATCTCTTCCTTTATCTTCTAGGTGACACCTGAGATCCTTTGGAGTTTTCAGAGGAAACGTTTGCCAAGCCTGGAAAGACTTTATGAAAACGAACGAGAGCCGGGCTTGGTGGCTCAGCCTGTAATCCCGCTCCTTTGGCAGGCTGAGGTGAGTGAATTGCCTGAGCCTGCGGGTTCGAGACCCGCCTGGGCAGCGAGACCTCATCTCTACAATAAATCAAAAAGTCAGCCGGGCGTGGTAGCGCATGCCTGTAATTCCGGCTACTCGGAAGGCTGAGGCGGAAGGATCACCGGAGCCCAGTAGGTCGAGGCTGCGGTGGCCAGGAGCGGCCACTGCACTCCAGTCTGGGTGACAGAGTGAGACTCCAACTCAAAAAAAAAGAAGAAAAAAAGAAAACAAATGAGGAGTATTTGGAGCCTATAAAGTCCCATGTGACAGAGTCTGGATTATGGGACTAAAAGCAGAGAGGCTGCCCCCATGCTGCCCCAGCTGGGTCCACCCAGTAATCGACACGGGCCCTCAGCCCCTTTCCAGGTCACCAGGCAGTGGACAAGTAATCGGTGGGCACATGGCCCCTGTCTCCTTGGACCATGACCTGTCTCCAGAAACCATGCTCTGTGAACTCAGGCCTGTGATGGGGGAGCTCAGAGAAGAGACACCACGTGGATTTGGGGGAGGGCCAGGGAGAGGGTTAAGGAGAAGCGAGAGGGACAGGAAAAGAGGGAAGGTGCAGGGGCGGATGGAGGAGTGGGGGAGTGGAATGAAGGGTGGGGTGGGTTGGAGGTGGGGTGGATGAGGGAGGGGTTGTGTCAAGGGGTGGGGGTGGGCTGGGAGAAGACCGGGTGGTGGGGGTGGACTGGGGAGTGGGGGTGGGCTGGGGGGGTGGGCTAGGGAGTGGGGGTGGGCTGGGGGTGGCTGGGGGCTGGGAGGTAGGGAGGACTGGGAGTGGGCTGAGGGTGGTGGTGGACTGGGGTGGGCTAAGGGGTCGG